TGTTATGAAAGGATACACTTTTTTTTTAATTTAGGGTAAATTTTCCCGGAAGGAGTGGACTGGGGAAAGAGCCTGGGAGGGGGAGGAAGGAAGAGGTGGGGCTCAGGGATGGAGCTGGGACTGGTTCCCACCCCACCCCCACAGTGGGGGCTAGGAGGAGAAGCTGGGGGGCAGGAGCCGGTGTGGGTACAGGGGGACTTGGAAAGGAGCATGTGGAGAGGGCCGGCTGCTGGACCACTCAATGGCCACAATCAGGCAGTTTATGATGGTGGTGTATGCCATGCACATGCTCCAGGCCTGCTGTAACAGCTCCTGCCAGATAGTGTGGCGCAGCTCCAGGTCAGTGTTCAACCTCTGCTCCTGCTGCTTGAGAGACCACTGCAGGGCGTACAGGCAGGCGATGTGTTCCCTCTCCAGGTCTTCCCGGGCTTGCCAGCTCCTGTGGGTCTCACAGGGCCCAGAAGCTGGTGTGGAAGCTGTGGCTCATGCCCCACTCATAGCTGGTCCAGGTGTGCAGAAGGGCAGTTATCCCAGGAGAAGGCTGCATGAAGCCCAGCCCTCATCTCTGAGCCGGCACTGAAATGTCTCAGTTCAGACAAAGGAGATGTGCTTTGAGCAAGGCCATCTGTGGCCTACACAGTGGGCACTATCCTGACGGGTCAGAGATGTCCTAGGGGAACCTCATTACCCCCACACTCTGGGGAAAAGCAGGCATGGGAAGGTGCCAGCCAGGCCGGGAGCCTATGGGCAGCAGAGGGGGGATTGGGCAACTCACCGTCTTTCTGTGCCACACACACTCTGGATCCAGCAGTGGTGGCATCCTGCAGAGAGAGGTCTTCAATCCCTGCCCACTGGAGGAGGGGGGGGAGAGTGGTGGGGGCCATGTGGTCCTCTCCTCTTCCTTCCCCCTGGCAGGTTCCCATGCAGGGGCTCGGTGTCCTCTGCCTCGCTGGGCTTGACTAGGAGCAGATGCTGTCCTGGGAGTGTGGGCATGCCTTAGTGTGTCGGGAGTACGTCAGGCCTCTCCAGAAACCCCGTGAGCAGGAGCACAAGGTTCCTTTGTGGCAGCCTCATGCGGCTGTCTGTCTGCACAGGCTGATGTGCGACCCTCAGGCCAAGAAGACCAACGAGGAGCGTGCAGCCCCTCACTGCCCGCTGGCTCCCCCTATGTGTGTAGTTTGGGGACCACTGTAATAAATGCAACACTAGCAAATCTGCAGTCCCAGACTTTCCTCAGGAATATGCACCTTGTACTGCCCAGATCTCTCCTGGACAACAGAAGCTCATATAAAAAGTCTGTTGTTTTATTAATAGAAAATGACATGCATGGGTCCTGTTATCCCAAATGGAGGTTCCTAAACACCCTGGTTTATATAAAACAATAAAATAAGTTTATTAACCACAAAAGCCAGATTTTAAGTGATTACAATTAATGAGGCAGTCTACTGGCTGCCCTGCCTGAACACAAGTGGGGCCTCTATCACATGCGTACTGATGCTCTGTTGTTTCAGAACACACTCAAAGCTTCCATGCTCTCACTTGTCTTTTACAGCTACAGGTTCTCATTAGTCTATGGATCATGGTAGCAGTGCAGTCACCCCACTCCGGAGCGTGTGGGGCGGGGGATTAAAAATAGCCCTAGGAGAGGGCTGTCCCAATAGCCAACAGGAGGTGAGCTAATGTCAGCCAATCAGAGCTGGGCCCTATAGAAGGGCTCCTGGAGGAGAGGAGCAGACACTCTCACGCCAGCTCTGGAGAGAGAAGGGCCTAGCTGCTCGCTAGCATAGGTACCACAGACAGAGCAGTGCTGCGGAAAGGCAGGGTGAGCAAGGGGAGCCCCAGCTTGAGCCGTCCCAGGCTGAGGCACAGCAACGTGAGTCTGAGCAGTACTAGGGCTGCAGGGAGGCAACCGGGCAAGGAAAGCAGCAAGTCCACACCCCCTTGCTTATGATGGGTGACTATTTCAGACTGCAGTTTTCCCCTGAGAGAAGGGGCTAGATGATGCCTGGCAATAGGGTCACTGAGGCAAGGTGGGCATAAGGGGTGGGATGGTTCCCTGAGGGGGAGGACACAAGAGTGTGGGGCACTGAGGCAGGGCTGTATCCTGCAGGAAGGGTGCTTTGGTCTCGAGGCACATAGCCTATTTGTCCTAACATAAAGTGGCAGAGCCATTAACACACAAACAGGTAACAGCAGCAAGACGCTGGCTTGAAGGGGGTTCTCTAGTGCTGAGCTGAGCTAATTCCCATGTAACCAGCAGGAGGCACCATGGCAGGGAGTTGCACTGTGTTACAATCTTGCTGTGTCATGCTGAAATCATTTATCAAGAAACTAATCATTTGCAAAACTGGCTTTCATCCTCTTATCTCATACTTTGTTCTTGTTTTAGGGCGGATGCATCTGTACTTTAGGGTTGTTTATCTGCACTCATCTGCTGTTAGATCAGGGTGATACTGGTGTCTTCACTCTCCCTCTTGCAGTTAGGGCAATTCACTGATAATTTTTTTCTCTCATCTACTTGCATCTTACACTTCCCTCATTCACACGAGAGAAGAGACTTGCCACCCCAACTCTTAGAATAGCAAAGAATAATTTCAGAACAGAGTTAAATCACTATCTTGTGTAAGTCTGCTTCAATGAAAACATTTCACATAGGTTTGATCCAATAGTTAAGTTTCATCTTCATATCCAATATCCTTGTTGTGTATACTGCCAATAGGGCTAGCTGTGCACAACAAAGGAGTTTTCAGCAAACAGCTAGTACTGGTGTATTTATTTCAGATTGAAAGGAAATGTCTTAGTGTGATAGGGCATTCCAAATTCCTTATGGGAATGAGCTTATGAATATGACATAACTGGACTATGCTTTATATGAGACACTTCATGTGAAAGCAGGCCTGTTTATGGCAGTGGCTGGAGCCCTGAGCCCTTTAAATTGTCACCAGAACAGTCTCAACTGTGCTATGCTGTGTCATCTGGGCAGCTCTAAGGGTTGGGGGAGCAGCATGGCATGCTTCAAGCAGCACTGAGGGCTGGCTGAGGCTTCCCCCCTTCTGGGAGCGTAAAGCCGGAAACCACCATCCCCAGCTTGCCCTGGGGTCTGACATGGCTGTTGCGAGCCCTGAGCCCTTTAAATTGTCACCAGAACAGTCTCAACTGTGCTATGCTGTGTCATCTGGGCAGCTCTAAGGGTTGGGGGAGCAGCATGGCATGCTTCAAGCAGCACTGAGGGCTGGCTGAGGCTTCCCCCCTTCTGGGAGCGTAAAGCCGGAAACCACCATCCCCAGCTTGCCCTGGGGTCTGACATGGCTGTTGCCCGCCCCCACCCCCCCCCCCTCCTTATCCCATTTGTATGCGTGTATCTTTTTTTAGATCAAGTTAGGAATATTGATCTGTGTATCTATAATTGCATATTCACTGCTTTGGGTCACTCCCGCTGATTACACTTCAGGGTGGTAATGGCCCATTGGCAAGAGATAATGGAGCTTTACCTTCCTGTGAGCAGGTGAGTCAACCTGTGAAGTATGGAGACAGGGATCCTGCGAAAGCATGAGACTGTGTCACCTGATGCTGGGACCCATCTTACATGCTGAATGTTTCCACAAGAGCACAGGGATAGTTTAGACTGAACACAAATGATCCCACCTTTTCCAAGAGTAGTGGGTAAGGTAACCTTGGTCATCAGTTCTCCCCAGCTACCTCATCCAAGATGACAGCTGAAAACAACTAAGACTGAACTGGGGGATAAAACCAAGTCTAGTCTGTGAAGATTACTAGAACCTTAGAACATCTTTTAGGGTGTAATTATATGTCACTAGTTTATTCAGTATATTGAACCGTGTTTCCATATTCAAGTTTTATTTTGCTTAATAACATACTTTTTTCAGTGTGCTATCTCCTATGACCACTTAAACCTATATTTTTATACCAAATAAAATTACTTTTGTTTATTAATAAACCCAGTGTCAATAATTGTTACTGGATGTGGGAGGAGTCTGTGCATATTTCTTTACACTGAGAAAGGGGTGAATTTCATGAACTTACACTGTACAGCACATTGTAGTGTCAGATGGATTTATCTAGAGTTTAGCTCCCACAGGGTGCAGCTACACAGCATCCTTACCTCAAAATAAGCTACACAATTTCTGCTACACAAACTGCACAGCCTATTTCGAGGTAATTTTGAAATAGCTTATTTTGAAATTTGGCACTGTCTACACAGTTCTAAATTTCAAAATAAAGCACTATTTCAGCAAGTCCCTTAACTTCCATGGAATGAGGGTTACAGGGATGCCAGAATAGTGCGCCCGTTATTTTGAAATCTATTTTGAAATAATGGGTGTGTATAAAGACACAGAATTGCTATTTTGGGATACTTCTGGTATCCCAAAAGTGCCACTGTCTAGATGTAGCCAGAGAGGCTGTGTAGTTGAGTACTGAGTTAAGGTCTCACTCTGTGCTGCTTTTACTTGAGGGGAATGGCTCTGTCCCTGTGTCTCGGTTGAAACAGGCTAGCGAGCTAAGCTCAACAGATCAAAGTTACACAGTGCCCAGGCTGTCAAGGGAAGCAGGGTCAGTGGTGTCTTGGCACATCAGGTCACTGTTTTAAGGGGGTCCCAACTTGTCACACTTAGCATGTTCTGATAAAACGGGACAGAGGTCAACATCAGAAAATTACAGCCTGCACGATTCATTTAAAAAAAGATTTTCAGTCCAAAAACCACCCTCTGCATATGAATCCAGTAACTGAATCTATAGAAAATCAAGTTTGCATATTGCAGCCCAAGAGAAAGCTCCAACCAATTGAAACACATACACAGTGTAGGCAGGACACTATCCAGATGAAAAAAAGGAAGTTGCAAAAAAGACCTGAAGAAAGACTGTTCTCATAACCAGTGACAGGCTATCGCTGAGGGGAAGAGATTCAGGCTGGTAATTATCAACAAGGTGACCTCCAGCTTCTCCTGAAGAGGAAGAGGCCCCATCTCTTAAAACACATCAAGGGGCTATTCTATTGTCCAGACTACATACTCCAGTAGACAAAGCAAGAAACTTTTGAAGATTCCCTGGTAGACTGTCCATATCCACTGCTGGTAAGTCTGAACATGGCCAGCATTGCAAACAGCCATTGAGTAAGTTTAGATAATAGCACAGAGTCATAGCTGAGCCTCTAAGGAAAAAACAGTTATCCAATGAGTAAGACTATGTACTATTCAATGTTTTGGAAACTATTCCATATATGATAGCTCAGTGTCTAGGAGGAATGTGAGATTAAATATCCTATATTCCCCATTAACCTGAAGCTAGTATCTGGGAATTCATATATGCTGGATCTCTTCATCTGCCAGGAACTAGGGCTGTGTCTAGACTACATGCCTCTGTTGTCAGATGAGACACATAGGCAAAGGTAAATGAAGCCGCGATTTAAATGATCACAGCTTCATTTACATTTACATGGTTGCCGCGCTGAGCCGACAAACAGCTGATCAGCTGTTTGTCCGCTCAGCGCGCTAGTCTGGACGCTCCCCTGCCGACATCAAAGCCCTTTGTCGGCAGCCCCGGTAAACCTCACCCCCTGATCAGCTGTTTGTCGGTTCAGCGCGGCAGCCATGTAAATGTAAATGAAGCTGTGATCATTTAAATCGCGGCTTCATTTCCCTTTGCCAAAACAACAAATCTACATGGCCCCGGCGACGGAGCCATGTAGTTTAGACATACCCTAGATGGAAAGAGGAGGTATCTGTCACCAGCAACATTGGTGAAGACTGAAGTAAAGAAGTCTTTTAGCTTCTCTGCAATGCTCTTTTTCATTTCATTACTCCCCTTACTTAAAGGAGAGTTCCATCAACGTTTTGATTTATTAGGAACTGGGCAAACTCTCAGGAGAGAAGGAGCCTACACAGGAAGGATGGGCTCCACCTAAACCAAAATTGGACCAGATTGCTAGCACTTAAAATTAAAATGGTTGTAGAGCAGCTTTTAGACGGGAGGATGTCTACACTGCAGAGCTTTTTTGGAAAAACGGCTGTTTTTCTGAAAAAAACTCACGTCCATACTGCAATTGCATTCTTTCAGAAAAAAAAATCAAAAGAACAGAGGGTTTTTTCCAACATTGGTAAATCTCTTTCTACGAGGAAGAAGCCTTTTTCCGAAAGAGCTCTTTTGGAAATAGGCATGTGTGGACAGAGGAAAGGGAGTTCTTTTGCAAGAAGAGGAAAGAGGAAAAAGTACAGGTGCCCTGGTAGCCACCCCGCCCAGAGTAATCACAGCTTACATGCAAGATAGGTCCATTCAGTGCTATCGCTTTTTCAATGCACTTTGGCAGTGTGGACACTCTCTTTCAGAAGAAGGGGTTTGGGTTTTTTTGGAAGATCTCTTCTGGAAAAGCTTCTTCCAAAAGAAATCTGCAGTCTAGACATAGCCTAAGGACTGGGGGAAAGTTGACAAGTGTGAAGAAGCACATGGAACAGAGACATAACTTGTGGAGGATCCATTAATGAAAATTATTTATGTTCTAATGAGGAGGAGAAGATGAAGATGATAAAATATGCATAAAATCTGATGGGAAACTGTCAAATGAAAAGACTCCCATTCAAACACATCTTGTAAAGGCAGAAAGCTAAAAAGTGACAGGTTTTAAAGTGCTTCTACTCAATAGCTAGAAGTCTAAATAATAAGATGGGGGAACTAGTGTGCCTCATATTGAATGAGGATATTGATATACAGTAAAACTCCAATTGTCCAGCATCCAGTGGTCTGGCACTCCTGATAGTCCGGCTCCAACTGGAACCCGGAAGTGCTCCGGCCACCCGGACAATTGGAGCTGCCCATAGGCGGCGGCGGAGATGGACCGAGAGGCAGGCAGCTGTTTAAGGAAGGCAGTCAGGCGGGGGGAAGGGAGGTGTTGGCAGGGAACAGCGTGAGGTTTCCCCGCTTGCAAGCCGGCTGCGCAGGGCTTCCACCGCTTCCCCGCAACACTGCGGAGAGTCCGCCCCTCGCCGTGCCATCCCCAGTCCACCTGCCTTCCTTAAACAGCTGCCTGCTTCTCCTTCCCTCTCCACCGCCACCATTTATAAGTTTCCCCACTTGCAAGCCAGCTGTGTAGGGCTTCCACCCCCTCCCCGCAACACAGCAGAGGGTTTGCCCCTCCCTGCACCGTTCCCCGCCGACCCCCCCACACAGTGTGGGTCCCGGCAGATCTATCACAGCACCCCGCCAGAGTACCTCCCAATACTCCAGCATATCTGATAATCCAGCACCCCGTGAGTCCCAAGGGTGCCGGATTATTGGAAGTCTGTTGTAATAGGCATCACTGAAACTTGGTGGAATGAGGACACAGTCATACCAGGGTACAAAATAAATTGGAAGAACAGAACAGGTTATGTTTCTGAGAGAATGACACTCTATATTAAAGAAAGCATAGAATCAAATGAAGAAAAAATCTTAAATGAACCAATCTCTATAGTAATTCTATGCTCTAATAATAATAATGCAGTAGGAATATGTTGCAGGCTACAGAAATACAGACTGTGAAATGCTAATGGAAATTAGAGAGGCTATTAAATAAAAAACTCTCAATAATAATGGAGAATTTCAACTATTCCCATACTGACTAGGTACACATGACCTCAGGATGGAATGCAGAGATGTATTTCTTGACCCCTTAAATGACTGCTTCTTCTAGCAAATAGTCTTAGAAATCACAATTCTTGAGTTAGTCCTAAGTGGAGCCCAGAATCTGGTTCAAGAGGTGAATATAGCTGAACTGCTTGGTATTAGTGACCGTAATATACAGTAAACTTCTGATAATTCAGCACCTTTAGGACCCAGGGGGTACCGGATTATCAGATATGCCGGAATACTGGAAGGGGGCTATAAAGGGTCTGGGGTGGCGGGGCGGGCGTCGGCAGGGAACTGTGCCGCGTGAGAAAGTGTAAGATACTTCCCCCCAATGTCAGAGAAGAATTAGGGGAACAGTGTGAAACCTGTACCTGCAGTGAGAGAAACATCAACACTACAGAAAAAAAGGTTTAAAGTGACAAATCTCCCTTTTCCCTGATTGTAACTACACCCATCCGCTCTGTCCTGAATGCCACCCTCCACAGAAGGCATTAAAACAAGCATTTGGGGGTAGGGGGGGGTTGAAAATGGAGGCAGAACATCCTCTAGGAATGAAATATATTGGTTATGGTTTTTGATTGTATCTGAGCATCCTGCATGTTGATCCAATACAGGCAAAGAAGGATAAATAAATCCCTTAAATGTCTTTACTGTACGAACAACTATTTCTCTTTTCAGTAGAGACGACAATGCTGAACCTGACTGCTTCAGCTGCCTATGATTTGCTGGTGGCCGGTGTCCAGAACTGGGATCTGACCGGTGATGCTGTTCCCTGTGAGCTGCTGCTCATCGGCGAATCTGCCTTCCCAGTGCTGGTGAACCCCCGACATCAGGTCCTGATCGCCGCCTCTCACTATGGGAAGGGCCGGATGGTGGTCATCTCTCACGAGAGCTACCTGGGCAGTCCCAAGATGGCTCGGTTCCTACACAATGCTGTGGTTTGGCTCAGTTCCTCCCCAGGAGCGGTGGTTGGTGTCCAGGAGAGTTTGGGCTCCCTGCTGGACATCCTCACTAGTTCTGGCATCCAAGTGCAGCCCAGTGCCCAGCTCACTGCCTCATTTGGGGTCTACTGTATGGATGCCTATAGAGCGGCACAGGAGAAAGAGCTAATCCAATTTGTGAAGAGAGGTGGGGGACTGCTCATTGGAGGTCAGGCTTGGCACTGGGCCTATAGTCACAGTGCAGACAGAGTGCTCTTCGATTTCCCTGGGAACCACATAACCAGTGTAGCTGGTGTGTATTTCACGGATAAATATGGTGAGGGAGGGATCTTCAGCGTCTCAGATGAAGTTCCTCCATTTCCCTTGAACAGCTTGTGAGTATCTGAAATAATTTCCTATGTATTAAATCTTACAGTTAAAGCTGCAAAAAGATATTCTGAAATGCTGCAATGTTGGAAAGGGGGTTAAGTTCCAATTCTCAGAGGGGATGCGGGTTCTTATCCCTAGGGGTGGAAAAAGGAATCAACAGGAAAGTAGTAAAACCAGAGTCCTGCCAAAAAGTTTGGGGAAACGTTTGACTTGTGGGGATCGTGATGTTCTGAATGAGCTCAGATGACTCTCAAAGTTCTAAGCATGAGACAAGACAAATAAGTGAATCCTTTAACTTTGTGCGTGTGCGTGTGCATGTGCGTTTCAATAAGCAGGGATCTCAAATAAGTGAATCCTTTAACTATGTGTGTGTGTGTGTGTGCGCGCGCGCGTGTGTGTGTTTCAATAAGCAGGGATCTTGTTACTTATTTGTGATCTGAAATACTGATTTAGTAAGAGAACATGACCAATTGTTAACCTTTAAGTAGTTGTGCACCACAAATGTCTGTTTGCTTATGAACTGTGTGGTCACATAACAAAATGCTGCCATATACTTTTCTGAAATACAATGAGCCCTTTACTGCTGATCAAAGGGAATTCTTTACATTCTGATTATATAAATGATCTCAGACTTTCTGAAATACAATGAGCCCTTTACTGCTTATCAAACGGAATTCTTTAAATTCTGATTATGTAAATGATCTCAGAACCAATAAATACAAAATACACCTCATAGCTTAGTCTCCTCTCTGTGCTTCCAGTATTTCATCTCCCATCATCCATCCCCTTACACTGTGCTCATCTCCTTACCCTCTTCCACACTGGTTTTGCTATGTCACATCTTAGGCTACGTCTAGACTGCAAGGTTAAATTGGAAAAAAAAACCCACAATTTGCGGTACCAAATTGTGTATCTTTTTCCACTTCACTTTCGAAAGAGGCTTTTCCGAAATTTGGCACGTCTACATGGTGCCAAATTTTGGAAAAAACATGCTCTTTTGACATATCCCTTATTCCTCGTAGTGATGGCGAAAGAACATGTGAGCTTTTTCGAAAAATCTTCCAAAAAAGCAGACACGTTCCTTGGATGCAGCGTTGCTTTTCCGGGATACCTCTGGTATCCCGGAAAAGCAATGCAGTCTAGACATAGCCATAGATGACAAAGAGATAAGAAAAAGTGACATCAAATTGCCAAAGATCAGTGCCGGGGTAAGGGATGAGTGGACTGCTTTGTTTTAGAAAGATCATTCAGAACAACTGTAACTCAAACCAGAGCAGCATCTCTCAGAAGAAGGCAGCTAAATCTTAGCACTTTCTGCAACAGATCAAAAAATACAGCCTAACAAGTAGAGATGATTTAAGAATATTTGGATATTTCTGTGGGGACGAGCAAATGTTCTACACAACCTTTCTCTTCCATCTCATGATGCTGTGCCAGTGCTGGCATGTAGCCTAATAGGAACATCTCTTGGTTTTGCAGGCATCGGCTGGATTTCAGAAGAGACTTAAACCTTGTCCTAAGAGGTGTGTCAGAGCTAGACATAGTGACCGATGGTGTCCCCTCTCACCTATTGGTCCATGGTACAGTGGCCTTCCCTCTGGGCTTGGATGATGCTTATCAGTGCTTTCTGGCAGCAGCCCACTATGGCCGGGGACGTGTGGTGGTGGCTGCACATGAGCTCTTTCTTAGCACCACAAAGCTCACAGACTTCATTCTCAATGCCATTCACTGGCTGGGTGCTGAGAAGGAAGGCAGAATTGGCATCAATCCCAATCTGAAGAACCTTCGTGAGCTGCTGATTCAAAGTCAGGTGGAGTGCGAGATATCAGAGCTTACTGACCGTCTCAACATCTACTGCTGCCAGTCCTACCGTGATGATGAGGCCCAAAAAATCCATGAGTTTGTGGCAGAAGGAGGAGGGCTGCTGATTGGAGGTCAGGCTTGGTGGTGGGCTTCTCAGAATAATGGCAAAAATGTTCTGTCTGAATATCCTGGTAACAGGATCCTCAATAAGTTTGGGATCAGTATCCTGGGGGAAAGCATGAAGGCAGACAAGTACCCAGCGCTACGACCTGAAGAGCAGAGGGGACATTACCACTTTCTCAGGGCACTCTCTCAGTTCCAGCAGCATCTAGACAAGAAGGAGGATCTCCAGCCTCCTGTGACAGGCTGGCTTCAGAAACTGTGCCAGGACTGTGCCAAAGCCCTTCAGATCCCAGTCGAAAACGGACACATCTATGCCTCATTGTACCACATCCTGTACGAGATGGTGCAGAGCAATGGGATCCCATCAGTGAGCCTGGAACACCCAGTCAAGGGGAACTCCAAGGAGGCTCTGCTGCTTCACGTGGCTACTGCACTGTCCCAAACAAAGACGGACTGTGCGAAACTAGTGCTCTGTGACCTCCCCACAGTCCCTAGCACCACTGTGGAAATCAATGGCACAAACCCAGGTGAGAGAATCCCTCCTTACTCACTAATCTCCCTACTCCCTGCTTCAGGATGGAATGGCCTGTAGAACATGGGGTAAACAGTGTTCAACTCTCCGCAGCCCTGCTCATATGGGTCACACCCATCACAGTGCATGCAGAACAGAGCTGCTCGTCAGAGATGGAAAGGCTCCTCTTAGGTTACATTTAGTTTCTGAGTCTCAGAGAGGTAGCCATGCTAGTCCAAAACTTTAAAAATAACGAGCAGTCCTGTGGCAACTTAGGCTACGTCTACACTGCAGGTATTTGTCGGTAGAGAGAATGCTAATGAAGTGCTCGTTAGCATTTGTCGCGCTGTAATTTGCATATCTCTGCCGATGCTTCTTGCGCAAGAGGTTTTTGAGCAAAGGAAGAAATGGAGACAGGTCTGTTTTGCACAAAAAAACCCTTTTGTACAAGATCCCGTATACCTCCTTTTTTGAGGCATAAGGGTTCTTGTGCAAAAGGGGTTTCTTTGCACAAAACAGACCCATCTTCCTGGCTTGTTTTTGCACAAAAATCTCTTGTGCAAAAAGCACTGGCAGAGATATGCAAATATCTGCATTATACTACAAATACCTTAGAGGTTAACAAAGGTATTTGTAGTATCAGATTTTGACCAGGAAATCTCATGATACTAAATATATTTTTGTTAGTCTCTAAGGGTGTGTCTATACAGCAAAGTTATTTCAGAATAATGGCCATTATTCTTAAATAACTATGTGAGTGTCTACACAGCAATTCCGTTATTTCACAATAATTTCAAAATAATGGATGGATTATTCTGACTTCTGTAAACCTCATTCTACAAAGAATAATGCCTATTCTGAAATAGCTATTTTGAAATAAGGCATGTGTAGATGCTCCACTTCTGCTATTTCGAAATAGCCCTTTCTCAGGGCCATTCTAAGTTATTCCTCCTGGGGTTTTAAATCAAGATAGCATGTCGACATTCTCTGAGGCTTCCCTGCAGTGTAGACGTGATATTTTGAAATAAGCTATTTTGGAATAACTGTTCTGAAATAGCATATTTTGAAATAACTGTGCAGTGTAGATGTACCCTAAGGTGCCACAGGACTACTTTTTATTTAGTTTCTGCTTCAAGACCCAGATTACTAAGTTCTCTCTCAAAGCCTATTCTCCATTTTTTTCAAATAATAAATTATTGGATTGATGGGATTTCTGCAATTTCATAGAAATTCATTCCATGAGCTAATAATTCATTCCTGAGGAAATGTTTCTAAACATTCAGCCTTAATTTCCTTTCTGCAGCTTCAGCCTACTACCGTTAATTATAGTTTGTAGTGCACCCTACCCATATGGCCCCCAAATTCACATTTGCTTTTCCCTGACATTGCAAACTCATGTCTAAGTACAGCCCATTGTCACTGCAAGCACTGCTTTTGAAATCTTCTGCCTCTTGTTAAATGCATGTTTCTGTCAAGCTATATTGACTGCAATTTGTCCAGGATGAACTCACTTTTGCCCAGAGTCCCAAATTCCTCTCCAAAGTGCTAACGGAATGCCACCTTAAAGATCTTATTGGCCTGCCAACATTCTCCCCATGCCTGCATGTCCATGCTGGTGAAACACTGTTTCACATACTTGATTTTAAAAGATCCTTGTTATTCTTCTTAGAAGAGACTAAAGCTCTTAGAAAGTCCACCCAACTGTTTGTTTCGTTTGATACTAATCCACTGGACAATGCTATTTTCTGAGAAGACGTTATGTAAATGACTATCGAAGTAAATCTTCTATTATCTTTTCCCTGTCAGGAAGCTACAAGTCTGTATCAATGTGTGTTCGGTCAGATGCAAAACTGCCACAAGCAATTGTGACAGGGTCAGGCCAGATGACTATAGCAGAGTGCTCGAAGGGAGGCATATGTGCCCTAGAGTAAGTAGGTCTCTGTTCCCTGGGTAAACTGGCAGGGGGTGGCCTAGAACCAGCAGGAACCTTCAGAAGCAGTCTGGACAATCAGGCCAGGTGGAACACCTGGAGCTCTTTAGGAGCCTTCCAGAGCCAAGGGAGTCAGGCTAATCAGACCACTTGGGGCCAATCAAAAACCAGTTGAGACTTGTTTAGAAGGGTTCCTCGTCTGTTAGCTCAGAGGCATGCGAGGAGGAGGAGGGAAGGAGCAAAGGATCTGAATGTGAGAGGTGTCTGAGTGAGAGCCGGGAATTGCAAGTCAGGCAGAGAGCGGTGGAGGAGCAGGACGGACTGCTCAGGTACGAGAGAAAAGGTGCTGGGACGGGGCCCAGGGAAGTAGTTGCTAGACCAGGACTAGAACAAACCCTGTCTGTTGCTGCTGCCTTAAGGACCCTGAGCTAGAACCTGGAATAGTGGGTGGGCCTGGGATCTCCCCAACCCCTCCCATGTCACTACAGAGTCTGCCCTCAGACAGGGAGACTGGGACTCTAAAGCAGTTTCACCCCCACATGATGGACCAGCCTGTGATGAGTATGGCTCAGTAGGCTGTGACCCCTGCCTCAACTAAAAAGAAAGAGGCTATGTGGTAGGACACAGTGAGCCTCTCAGGCTGATCACCATCTACCAGAAGTGCAGGACCCCTGGGCACAGCCAGCGCTCTGCCACACAATATTGTAATTGTCTTTCCTGAATCAATGAGCAAAGAAGTAATGTGGTCCTCCCTCCATGTGCTCCTTTCAGCTTTATTACTTATTTGTGCTGTGAAGCCCGTCTTGGATTCTGCATTCCAGAACTTGTTTTCAAAGTGGGGGAGAAACCCTTTTCTTTCTCCACAGTACAAGTTCATTTGTTCAGGGAATGTGGATGTCCCTTATTCTTTGTTGGCCAAAGATTTTTCCTCTGATGTCAGCAGGAGAATATTGTACAAATCAACTTGTTACAATGTCAGCATAATGGTAATATTATGAGCAAGAAGTTAATTTCTGGGGAGAATGCAACAGGAAGTATTAGCCCTCCCCTATTCTATGGCACATGGCACCCGCCCCCCCCCCCCCGCCCTCCAATGACATTCAGTGGGAGGAGATCCATCCTCAGGCAGACCGGCCAGGCCTTTGTGCTGATGCTTTCATGCAGGAAGCCAGATAGAGGTGTTTAGGAAAAGCTGTGTTAGGTCTGTCCTTTGTGCCTTATTCCAGGTGATGCTGCATGGAGAAGTACAGGACTTTATCTGCCACGTGGGAACACAGTGACCTTTCTATTTCCTAGCACTGTTATTGGAGCTGGCCTACAGGTGAACTAATTTTCCTTTCTGCTTCTGTTTTCACTTCAACTGCAATTCTACTTGGAAAGTGACTACATACAAATAAATTCTTATTCTATAGCTCTGTCCCCTGGGCAAATTCAGTTCTATGCAATCAGTATGCCTACTTACTTTTTACAAGCATTCATCCATCCAAACAAAAACCAAAAAAACCAAACCCACAGGTAGTAGATTCTATTTTTTCATATGTATCATCAAAAGAATTGTTTACTAAGTTCTAATAAACTGCCATATATAAGCTATTTGATATAGGGCTCAAATATTTAAGCCCCTCACTCCTACTGAAATCAGTAGAAGTTAGATGCCTAAATGTCTTTCAGAATGTGGCTGAAAGTATGTCCTTCTCAGGTAACTGTATCATCAATAAGTGGTTAATAACAACCTGGCGGGCAGCCTCTGAGTGGCTATGGGGCTTGACTATGATTCTGGACCTAGTGGAATCCAGTGTTTCAGCTCACACTGAAAGGCTCCCTGCTCTATAGGCTAGGAAAGTCAAAGAAGGTTGGAAGTGACTCACACTGCCACATCACTGCATTCTCTCCCATAGCGATGGAAACAGATGCACCTTAAACTGCATCAGCCTGATGAGCTATCTGTGGCTGGAGGCGGACTTTGAATAACAATAACCTGTGCGGACCCATTGCAGCAAAGGCTACAGGCCAGAACTAGGGGTACGTCGAGACTACAGGCTTTTGTCGACAGAAGTTTTGTCGACAGATACTGTCGACAAAGCTTCTGTCGACAAAGAGCGTCTAGACTACATCTAGTTCTGTTGACAAAGCAAGCCGCTTTGTCGACATGACAGTGTAGATGCAAAGGACAGTGCAGATGTAATAATGCCTTCTGTCGACAGAACTCTGTCGACAAAAGACATTATTCTTCATAGAATGAGGTTTACAGCAGTCGACAAAACTGCTGAGTTCTGTCTACGTTATGTCGACAGAACTCAGCGGTAGTGTAGACGCACTTATAGTTTTGTCGACAAAACCGTGTAGTCTAGACACACCCTAAGAGTCCTGGCACCTTCAGTAAATCAATGAGAAAAGTGACCATTGATGTCACGGGAGTTGTGAGTGCTCAGTGCCTCTGAAAAGCTAGGCTTTTGTTTGCCTGTGCCTAGGTTTCCTCCCCTGTAAAATGGAGATAATGCTCCCTCCCTCACTGGGAAATTTAAGTCGCTGACACCTGTGAAGTGTTGAAGAACATCAGATGGAAGGTGGGGTGTTATTAAGCAATTTATTGAAGCACAAAGTATTATCAAATGCCACACTGGAGATGTAATAAAATGCCACTACTCATATGCTTTTGCCCCTGTGCTTTGTGAGGCCATTTTGGATACAGACTCTAAAGGAGAAACTCAGAACATCGAGGTCTGTACAGCTCATATATCTGATCATTGCTCTATTGATTCCTTTAGATTATAACTAAGTCCTTCCCTGAAAACAAGTCACCTTGGCTCAGATTCTCAAGGTATTTAGGCACCAAGGTTCCTTTACAATCCAGGAGAGCGAGGATCCACCTCCTTAGCCCCAGTTTTAGGTACCAGTACCACTGCAAACCACAAAACTCCTGCGTGGCTGCCACATCCCACTGTATGCGACAACACTCATTTGGTGCCTAAATGATCAAGGTTCAGTTTCCCTGGGTGCCTGAGTTTTTGCCTTTGGGTCTGTGCACTGTTACCTCCCTCTAAGCATCCAGACATCTATCTGCTACTTAATCCCCTGATTCACAAAACAGAGGACGTTTAGCATCCACCCTCCTTTCTTGCCTGAAAGGCCCCATCTTTCCAGAAGGGGAAAGAAGTGCTCACCGTGCAGCTTTTAACCCAGTGATTGGTGCACTCAGCAGGATGTGGAGTTCCAGGTTCTATACCCCGCTCCATCTGATGGTGTGTATTTGAATAGGGGTCTAGTATCTCTCAGGCAGGACTCTAGCCAGCAGGCTGTGCGACAGTCTGGTGTGGGGGTTCCTGCCATCTCTTCTATTGAAGCTGTTCCACTTGGACAGATGATTTTACAAAAGGCTGTAGATATCATTGCACCGTTCCTTCTACTGAATTCTGACCACATCTTTGCCTGTAACCAAGCCACCTTTGCATTTCCAGGTGCAGATTGGGTGTCACTCGGATAACCTCAGCCGTGCAGAGCAGCTGAAACGCTCCCCGGTGGTGATACACAGATGTGACATCAGAGATAAGAAAATGTCAGTCTCCACTCTCTGGGGGGGCCTAATTTACATCATAGTGCCAAAGGGAAGCCAGCTGGGGGAAGTGTCTATCACTGTGAAAGGAGCTGTGCAGGCTCCTTTCTTCAGATTTGGTAAGTGTGCTCCTTGCTCTTTCATACCCTTCAGCTCCCAACTGCTTTTATTGTGTTGCTTGTTCTAGTCTTGCGTCTGAGCAAGATCTTCTTTAGCCTCCTTCTTCATAGTCACTTATGCATTTACCAGACCTTGTTCTTGTCTGTCAGAAAGATGAATGCAGCTCTACCAATCTGGTGTCTTTATGTTCTTCAGCAGATATTAGAGCAAGAACAAAGTTTATTTTGATAGCACCTTAAAATGTTCCTGTAAGTCTTTAATACAGGGAAGATGATAAAGACAGAAGATTAAACCAGAATGGCACATCTTGCTTTCCTGCATTTTTCATGTTTTCTTCTGCTTCAAAGTTTTGGGAGTGCATGAATTTTGTTGACATGGATAGCAGCAACATTAACCAGGAGAGGAGATGTTCTACAAGTATATTGGGAGCAAGAGGAAGACCAAGGACAGTGTAGGCCCACTGGTCAGTGAAGAGGGAGAAACAATAAGAGGAAACTTGGAAATGGCCGAGCTGCTTAATGACTTCTTTGTTTTGGTTTTCGTCAAGAAGATGGATGGTGACGAGATGCCTAACATAGTGAATGCTTCCCCATTTTTTTCAGGAAGAATGGCTCTTGTGCAAGAGAGGGTTTTTGCACAAGACTGAAAGTAAGTGCCTGGGTGCTCTCTTTCGAAAAAGTGGCTTGCTTTTTCGAAAGTACTGGTTGTAGTCCAGATGCTCTTTTTCAAAAGACGTAGCCTTAGTTACTTAGGTTATTGCTCATCTTCAAGGCTTCAAAAGGACCCAAGTACTTAAACTTATGTTAAAATATAAAATGAAATCAGCTGTACCAAGCTGACATGGAACCAAATCCTCATGGGAATTGTGCACTTAATCTCTTTGTCCCATATTGATTCAGGAAAGACATCTAGCAGCGAGTGGCTGACCAGCATTCGCCACTATCCAGCTCCCTGGGCAGAACTAGCAACTCAGAACATCATCCTGACAGTGCCTGCAGATAACATCCGTCCCATAGAAGATCCAGAGACTTTGCTGAACCTCTGGAAGCAGATTATGGCAGCAGTGGCTGAGCTGGCAGCTATTCCAACCAAGTTCCCCAGGCCGGAAAGGATTGTAGCAGATGTTCAGATCTCAGCTGGTGAGTAGGGTGTGTTGTCATTAAAAGCAACTTAGTGATGCTGTGGGGTAAGAGACTCAGCTGGAGGCTGAGAGCCAGGAACATTTACACAGCAATCCTGGGCAGTGGGTTTAGGAGGCAATGCCTTCTCTGAGTCTTAGTGCTCAACTTTTGCCTCTTCCTATTTCTATTTTGACCTTTCCTACAGGCGTCCACAGCTGGCTGTTGCAGCTTGGTGAGTCTTTCTCCAGACATGATCTAGCAACTGAAAAGTAAAAAGCCTTCCAGCTTGCCAGATTTGTTAGCATAACACTGAACCTATGAAAGAGCTGTTAAGTGGTAATGAAACATTTAACGGGCATGTGCCAACACAGAGGTCTATATACCGTCAGTTTCCAAACTGTCTGACAAAACAGTTGTACATTACTGTAAGATAGCTACAGAACCTTAACATTTGCTTTAAATATTTCATTAGTTGGTAAAAATGATAAAATAACATCTTTAAAAAATCCTTGCATAGATTTTAGAAGCACACTCTGAGTATTCTGCTTTAACCTTAAGGCTGTGTCTAGATTGGCAAGTTTTTCCACAAAAGCACCTGCTTTTGCGGAAAAACTTGCCAGCTGTCTACACTGGCCACTTGAATTTCCACAAGAACACTGACTTCCTACTGTCTGAAATCAGTGCTTCTTGCGGAAATACTATGCTGCTCCCGTTCAGGCTAAAGTCCTTTTGCGCAAAAGGGCCAGTGTAGACAGCTCAGATTTGTTTTCTGCAAAAAAGTCCCGATCGCGAAAATGGCGATCGGGGCTTTTTTGTGGAAAAGCACGTCCAGATTGGCCGGACGCTTTTCTGCAAAAAGTGCTTTTGCGGAAAAGCGTCCGTGCCAATCTAGATGCTCTTTTCCGAAAATTCTTTTAACGGAAAACATAATGGAGCAAATTAGTTTCCCTTTCTTTATTCCTGACTATTTGATGGTGTAATTCTAATTATAGTGAAACTTTTCTCTAAAGCACACACCTATTTGGGCTCTCAGCTCCTGCCTCAGTTTACTGTACAAACAAGGAAGAAGGAGTTAGTCAAATCCAACTGACAGTAAAGCAGCCTTCCCTCCATTGCAGAATTGTTCTACACAGCTAGAGCTGGTCAAAATACTGAAAGGGGAAAACAGATTCCGTTAATACAAGGGTTTTAGTTTAGTTTAGTTAGTCTTCATCCAGACTAATTTCTTACTCAATGTTCAATATTTATTCAAGCCACTAATGAGCTGCCTAATCAATTGTGCAGCTTCAATCCCAACACAGATCCTTTGCAAATGCTTCATACAAATGCCTTTTGTTTGCTTTTGATATCTGTCAAAGATATTAAATGCCAAACCGAAGAGCAAATAATGTAACTGGCTTAGTTAGGCATTAGTGAATTGAACTTCAGCAGATTCATAATTCAGCAAGTGTTATTTAATCCCCTCCACATACAACATACTTTCTAGTAATTTATTAATTCCCAGTTTTACAGGACTCCAATCACAAAATTTTCTATGGAGAAGACTCTTCCATATTCTATTTTAATATCTCTCCACTCTAAATGTCTCTTGGTCAATTTCATCACACTACTTAACACATTTTTGTCCTAGTGTCTAGTTAGTTAATGAGGCTACAATCCTGCTGATTAAGTGCATTTCTGGACAGAGGCTAGTATGCAGCATTTTTCAAGACTGGGTGCCATCTGAAGATGATTCGGTGGTCTGTCTGAAATTACTTGGTGGGTTATCAGTCCAGTCCCCAGTGGATTCATGTCCACATTACAGAACGATCATCATAATTAGAATTAACTGTGCTCCATACCAAGAATCAGATGCCGAGGATAGACTGGATCATAGAATCTTAGGGCTGGAAGAGACCTCAGGGGTCATTGAGTCCAGCCCCCTGCCCAAAGCAGAACCAACCGCAACTAAATCATCCCAGCCAGGGCTTTGTCAAGCAGGGACTTAAAAACCTCTAGGGATGGAGATTCAACCACCTCCCTAGTGAACCCATTCCAGTGCTTCATCACCCTCCTGGAGTGTGTCTACACAGCAGGGCTTAACTCAGAATAAGCTACTCAAATTGAGCTATGTCAATTGCGTAGCTTATTTCAAAATAGAGCACTCTTCCTCTGACTTCCCTTACTCCTCGTACAATGAGGGTTACAGAAGTCGGAGTAAGAAGTCCTTCAGCTTGACAGTATTTCAACATTATTTCAAAATAACTGCCTGCTGTGTAGACGCGGACTAAGTTATTTTGAAATAATGCTAGTTATTTCAAAATAATGTTGCTGTGTAGATGTACCCTTAGTGAAATAGTTTATCCTAATATCCAACCTAGACCTCCCCCACTGCAACCTGAAATCTGCAATTTGGGTCATGAAGACTGAACTAATTTCTCCCCAGAAGGGATGGTCCAACCAAGAAATTTAGATCAATTAAGAGGAGATGGTGGGTAATGTAGAATCTTGCTCTGCCATAGGCTCTCTCTTTTGTGGATTTACTGTTTCAACCACAGCTGCCAGTCTAGCAATTTTCATCATGCTGAAATTGACTATAACAAAGAAATTATATATTAATATTAAATCATATGCCACCTTGCCCTTTTCTCTCCCCACCCTTTAAGTTGACCAGCATCTCCAAAACTCTGACCCTCTATTTCTAAATAGCTGTATAATGAACATGGTAGTACATTCTAAAATACAATAAAAACATTAGATCTGCAAACAATACTAAATTAAAGTTTACAAATATCAACTGTGTTACTTTAATGTATTCTCCTTTGTGGTGTTGCGGCCTCTCTAGGCTTTGATTTCCACCAGCATTTGACTGTTAGTGTCACAAAAACTCACAGTGAATGTGAATTTCAGACAGACGTGCACGAATCTTTGCAGAAACTGATATTTTCATTTACACATAGGAGGATTTTCAGCAGACAGGCCT